TGAAGCGGCAGGGGACAGTGCCGGGGGCCAGAGCAGGGTGGCAAGGCCCAGCTGCAGGCCAAGGGGGCCATGCCACAGCCGTGGGGCTGGGGCCGAAGGTCCCCCCCAGCCTCCTCATGAGGAGCCTGAGCCCCACTCTGCCCCCAGAGCTGCTGTGGGGCTGCCCCATGGGCCTGACTTCCATAACAGCCCTGTCCTCCATGCCCTGAGCAGCAGCACGGGCTCCAGCATCTGCTCAAGCCCCAGGACAGGGACAAGACCAAACCAAGCAGCCCCCTGTGAACTGCTTCCAAGGGCAAGGCCACATTTTCCAGCAGCAGCAGCACACGAGTAAAGGCTCCAAGTCACCTTCTTGCAAAGCCTGCAGGCTTGGAGCAAAAAGCAGCACAGAGCAGACAAATAAAACCCAAGTCTGCTGGAGGTGGCGGGGAGCACCCCTGGGCCAGGCACTGCGGCAGCGCAGGTGGTGCCAGGGCAGCGGGTCCTCATGCTGCGTCCCCTGGCCACCGTCCTGCCTGGGGTGACAGCCCAAGAAGCCATGCAAACAGGCACTCCTAACACACGCGGGCTCCAGCGTCCAGTCACTGTGAGCTCCGCAGTCTGTGCTCGCACACGGGCCAGGGCGGACACACCGAGAGCCATTGGGGTTTTTTTTTGGGGGCGTGGGCATTGCCGGGGCCGGGAGGCACCATAACTACGAAGGCTGCTCGCAAACTTGCTGAAGACCTGGCTGGAAAAGCTGTCCGAAACACCCCTCGTCTGCAAAGTAGGGAGAGGAGCGCCAGGAGCTACTGCATGGAGCAGCCCTCGGTGGGCAGGAAGTCGTAGACGTAGATGGCAACCGATTTGGAGAGGTAGGCCATGGTGCCGAACCTCCCGCTGGGCGCGCTGTCGTACAGCAGGATGCAGATGCCAGTGGTGGGATCCTTCTCCAGCATGTGGTCATCAGCACCCAGTGCCTTCTGCGTTTTGCACATGAAAGGAGAACAGTAGCGTTAGGAATGGGGACAGCACCCCCGGCAGCCTCCAGCCACGTCAACCCTGTGTGAGGCCTGGCCCCGTACCTGCTCCTCGTAGAACATGTCGTTGGCAATATGCAAGATCTTCTCCACAGCAATGATGCCGCCAATGGTGTGGACCTCCATGTCCACCAACATGGTGAGCACTAAGATGGTTTCCACCAGCAGCTGCCGGTACTCCGGCTGCGGCACGCGGTTGAGGACGGACTCCACATGCACCGCGAACTTCAGCTCCCCCGGGGTCATCTGCAAGAAGCAGAGGAAGAAACGGGCCTCGAGCACAGTGTCACCAGCGCAAGCCGTGACTGCCCTCTGCCCAGCGCTGCTCCCCTGTCAGCGCCAGCCCAGCCGCCCCATGTTCCCCACGTAAACCTCTTACCTCCCTGGTTGTGGAAGAGGGGAGAACAAATCCCTCCACGGAGAGGCCGTGGCACTGCAGAACAAGCCAGAGAGACTGTGGTTACGGCACTGGGCAGGTTCAATGCACCCGCACGGTCCCATCCAAAGGGCTGCGTGCGCTGCCCACGCACCCCAGCTCCACCTCCCAGCTTTCCTCCCAGCGTTCAGATCAGCCTGTCATTCTTCTTCCCATCAGCCACGCTCCAGAGGGGCTGGATGGAGCCCTACCACTCGAAGCATCAGGCTCTGCTCCCTGGGAGCACCTTGGAGCTGCCTCAGCTGTGTCTCCAGCACTGGCTCCAAGAGCCCACAGTTCAGCTCCCGGGCTAACGTGGGAAGCAGCTGAGCAGACCCAGCCCCACCTGCAAGGATGATGAAGTAGGTCCTGCCTGCCGCCCAGGCAGCTCCGGCTGCGGAACCATCCAACTTTTCCCCATCAGGTGTCAGCTGTGAAGCTTGCATCTACCCAACCTTGGCAGCCACCCCTGGCTGCTTAAGTCTCCTGTGGACACCAGTGATTGGGACCACAGGCTCATATGCACGGAGTGCAGCCAGACTTGCAGCTCACCTTCTGCAGGACCTTCCAGACCTTCTGGTAGAAGCCCACAGGGACACGGTTGAGGGCCCCATCCAGCCGCCGTCTGCGCTGCCATTGCCCTTGGCGGCTGTCCTTGGCAGCCTGGCCTTCCAGCAAGCTTGTGACAGAGCCCTTGCCTGGCAGCTCCGTGTGCCCAGGAGACTGGGCGGACAAAACAAGGAGCACAGAGACCATGGCAGCGTTAGACACCCCACAAGAGCACATTCCTGCACCTGCTAAGGGCTCATGTGTACCCAGGGCCAAGGAGCATTGACTCTGGCTCCCAATGGCGCTCTGTTCCCCTGCCTTCCTCCACCCTGCTGTTTTTCTGCTAGCTAAGCATGGAAGAGCAGCCTGGGCCACTGCTAAGACAAGAGGCCACCAAACAGTGTCTGTTGTGGATGGGGCCACACTGGACTCAACGCCCGCATGTCCAGGCCCCGGCACACTGCACTGCTGCTTGTCACCGCAAGGGTGGCCGAGGCCCCTTCCAAATGCCCCCATGGGGACATCAGGCCACGCTCCAGGGCCAGCTCTGCACTGCTGGCGCTGCCCTGCGGTCACACTGCCTGGGCAGCCCGTGCTCTTCCCTCCTGGACGGCGCAGAGGACAAGAGCCCTTGCCCGAGCACAGCTACACACACAGGACGCGCCGCAGACGGATCCACCGAGCGCACATTACCACAGGGGCCTTCGCATCCGCCTCTCCGGACAGCACATCGATGGCCTGCAGGAGAGAAGGAGAGAAATGAGACCCCGGTCATGCAGAGCAGGTCCCGGGGCGAGCAGAGCAGCAGCAGCAGCGCAGACCAAGCTCGGATCACAGGGCGGTTATCCCAGGGGCTGTGGTTAGCTGGAGACGAGAGGAGGTTTTGAAAGTCGAGCTGTGGAGAGTCCCACGTTAGTGTCAGAGGAGAAGGGATGCCCCAGGGCATGGAGCAGCTACGGGGTCCCCACGCGCCAGCGCCAAGGTGACAGTGGCACTCTCCTGCAGCGGGGCTGCGACTGCTCCCTTGGCAGCTGGCACAGGCAAAGAGGACTCGGTCACAGATCCGAGAGCCAGCTGAGCCTTCCTGCCACGCACGTTGCTTCCCTGTGACACCAGGCTCCACGCTGCAGCAGCTTGACCATATGCAGGAAGGCCTGTTGGGCCCCACAGTGACCATGAGGAGAGGACTTCCCCCCCACCCCAACCCCAGAGGGGCTCAGAACCCCTCCAGCACACAGGCCAGGCATGAGACATGGTCCCTCATCTTGTACAGCTGGGCACCAGCCTATCTTCTCTGCACAAAACAGCCCAGGCAGGCTGCAGGCCAGCTCCAAAGGTAGTATGTTTGCCATCAAAGTCCTCAGCAGGGCTGCAGCTGGTCACAGCACTGGGGGCATCATGCCATGCTGCTCAGCACATTTGGGTTTTTTTTTTTTTGCAGGTATAATGAGATCCGTCCAGCCTCAGAGCACAGCTCCCATCTCCCAGGTGCCCTTCTGCAAGGGGAGCTCCCACAAAGGGCGATGTTGCAGCATGTTCTGCCACGCTGGCCTCTTCCCGGGAAGCCAGACCTCCTTCCCGGTCGGAGCCCAGGGCCGGCCAGGAGGGAAGCCAGCTCCCTGCTGCGGCAGCCTGCTCCGCAAAGCTCGTTAGTTCAGGCGTGCATGGAAGCTGCCTTGGGGGCTGGTGTTAGGGATAAAAGCTGAGGCTGTAGGAGGGCCAGGGTGGGTTCACCTTAATCCCAGGCAGAGACTGCCTACGTTTATCCAGTCGCTGAAAGAGAAGAAGGAAATGAAGTTTCCACTCCTGGAAGAGGCCCACCAGGGTACCGTCCACACCTGGCACCCTGTGAGGTCCTTCCCATCCCTGCACTTCCGCAAGCACCCTGTGTTCCCCCTTACTGCACCCTTCCACCCCCTGCAACTGCAGATTTATACCACAGCCCCCCTGGTGCAGGGCTGGAGCTGGAGCAAGGCCCTCAAGGCTGCTGTGGGCTCTCTAAAGCCCAGGACTCGACTCCTCCTGCTCTCCCATGGAGCATTGTCCGTGTGCTGACAGTCCACATGTCGCTTGTCTCCTGCACTTGTCCAAGGGAGCGGCCGGCACCGCCTGCGCTTACCTGTTTGATCTCAGTTTTCAGCTGGACGATGCCAGCCCGCTCGGGCTTGGTGGCCCCGCCAGCCCCCACTTCACGGATGGAGATGGCGGTGGTGAGAGCCGAGTCGACTGATCGCACTGGAGCAGAGCGGAGAGCGCAGGTCAGTACCACGGCTCCGAGGAGCCTCTCATTGCTGCCTGGATGCTTCGTGCTGAGACCTGCACCCAGCCTTGCCCTCTCTCCCAACCAGCAGCACAAAGAGGCCCATGGGCAGAGCTGCCTCACGCTTCAGCCCTGGCTCAGACTACAGTGCTGAGCTAAGGAAGCACAGAGCGCCAGCCCCGTGACATGGATTTGGTCCCAGGAAACCTGCTCAGCACCACCCTGCTGAGGTGCAGGGTTTCTTGCTGGAGCACTGCCATGCAGAACAAGCCCGTGTGCTGCACACGCAGGACAACACACACGGTTGTAACCCAAACAACGATTTGAAAGCCTTAAGTTAACTGCGCTCCTCACTAAAGTTCAGTTTTGCCCAGAGACACTCTCAAAGCCCCGAGGAGACACTCACCACTCTTTTCCACCCCAAACTCCTTTCCAGAGAGAATGTGGAAGAGAAGATTCTTCACATCTGATGGACTGAGATTCATCAGGCTCTCGGTGGCTTCTCCAGCTAGAAAGAACAGAGAGTTGGGATAGTGTCCCCCCTCCAAAGCCCCACTGGGCGATTTCTAGCCTACACAGCAGCCTGGGTGTTAACAGAGTAAGTACTGGTACAGGAGGCATCTCCAAAGACACGCTAACTCCAGGTATAGCCTATAACAAGACCTCTTCCCCAGGCCAGCCCAGTATGTCTGAATGGAGATAGCCGCAAAGCTGCCTGTCTGTGCTGCCAGGCAGCAGTCCCAGCTGAAACCCCCCGACCTTTCACGCAAGCTCCTGGCCTGGTGCCAAGGGCTGCCCTTTTCAATGGCAATTAACCAAGTGCCGCAGTGACAACACTCTCCCCCAGCTGGGATACCCGTCCGGCTGCACGTACCCGAGCAGTGCAGAGAGTGCGCCAGCTCCGTTACCATCACCTGGATGATGAGCCCAACGCGGATGCGGAACATCTCAGCGAAGAGCGAGGGCTGCGTGCGGATGTACATGGCCAAGTACACCAGGATCTCCTGGAGGGGAAGCAACAGGTCACCCCACAGCTGCTCACCAGAGCAGGCAGCCATCCTCCAGCTCCAGCAATGGGACCTCCCTGCTGCCTTGTGCCCTCACCTGGGTCAGGATGGAGACACTGAGGTTCTTCTCACTGGCTTCCTCAATGAGGTGAACGAGCTCCTCGTAGGGCAACGGGCTAGGGATGTGATGACAGGACAGGTAAGGTGCTACAGTCTCAGGAGCAGAGAGACACCCACGTTTCTCCTGGCCTGTTCAGCTGAGGCACAGAATGCCTCACCCTGCGACACCAGAAAGCTCACACCACACAGCCCAGACAAGAAAGACGGGGGCAGCCATCCAGAACCATCTATACCCGCGGATCCCAGAGCAGACAGAGCAAGGGGCTCCCATGTGGCCCAGCCCAGCACATGTGGGGAGAGGCAAGTGCCACACTCACGCAGAGATGGTCTTTTCACGGGGCTCTGGGGGTAACCCCACGGTCAGATGCTTCTGGTGAGACAAGAGGTTGGTGCAGGCCTGGGGAAAGAAAAGCTCACCTCAGGTGCTGGCCCTCCAGCTCAGGTACAGGGACAGGCACTGCACAGGTTCTTGGGCCCTGGCATGAGCCACAGTCTGGGACATGTCCCCTGAGCAGATGCAGCCAAGGTTCAGCGGCCCTCTTTGCTGCATCCTCCCCTACACATGTCACCCCACTCCCTGGGGCTTGGCTGCAGCGTTTTACCTCATCCAGAGCTTCCACCTTCTTCTTGAGGATGCTGGAGATGTAACGGATCAGGGCCCACTGGCGTGTGGTCCCCACACGCACGTACAGCTCAGTGAGGAGCTCCTTCACGGTGGGCCCGGGCTGGCTCTCAAGCCCAGTGTGCCAGTCAGGCCCCCTGCAATAAAGGAGATCACAGAATCACAGAATGGTTAAGGTTGGAAGGGACCTCTAGAGATCATCTAGTCCAAGCCCCCTGCAAAAGCAGGGGCACTTCGAGCACATGGCACAGGGTGGCATCCAGGTGGGTTTTGAAGATCTCCAGAGGAGATTCCACAACCTCTCTGGGCAGCCTGTTCCAGTGCTCTGTCACCCATGCTGGGTTACAGGCATGGGTTATAGGCAGCAGCTCCTGCCAGGGCAGCTCACAGCAGTGTGTGGGCACCGGAGGTCACCACACACATTGGCAGCCCTGCTTCTCAAGGTGCCCTGCTCAGCGCACGGGCTCTGGGTTATCTGGCCACACGCTGCTGGGGAGAGAGGTGTGACCAGACCTGCCGTAACCTTTAGGGTGTGCTTTGAGCCGCTGGATGGACTGTAAACCCACGGCTAGCCCTGGATGCTCAAGCCCAGGTCCGTGTGCTGGAGTGACAAATCTATGGTGCCCTCAGTAGGAAGGCTGTCCAGAGAAGCGTGGTCAAGACAAAGGTAGAAATGTGAGGGACAGAGCAGTGGGACTCAGCACTCGTACTTGAGGGTGTGGAGCATGTAGAGGATGTCTGCTTGCTCCTGCAGTGTGGGGCAGACACGTAGCTGGTCCACCAGCGCCTTGAAGTCCACTTCACCAGCTTCATCTCTGGGTAAGTTCATCTCCGCGTGGAGCACGTAGCTCTAAGGCAAGGGAGAGCCACAGTCCTGGTTAACACTCCCACCACCTGGTACTCGCACGGCAGTCAGGATGCAGGGCCAAGGCTGCTAGTCCATAGCCATCCCATCCAAAATGTCAAGCTTGCCCAAGGCAGCCCCATAAGGACTGTCCCACTCCAGAGGAAGGGACGTCACCCCTTGGCCAGGTCCTGTGCAGGGAGGGGATGTGCTCACCTTGCCATCCGTATCATGCTGGAGAGGAGAACTCAGCAAGTTAACAGACTGCTGGGATGCCTGGAAGATCTTGCTGGGGATATACATCCCAACATCTGAAAGAAACCTGGGGTTAGCATGGACACCTCTCCATCCCAACTCCCATCCTCACGTGATGAAGCAGCTCAAAGGAGGTCTAACGCTCTGCTTCTTCCCAGAATTGCTGGTGGAGGAGTCAGCAGTGCTGTCCACAAAGCCACAGAGGAATGGCACAGTGCGCTGGCAGCTCGTGACCTGTTCCTGCTCAGGAGTTTCCATGAGCAGACACTGGCTCCAAGATACTCTGTGGCCAGAGCTAACAATGTGAGCTTTAAAGTGTGGGGCTTTTTCCCCCTCAGGCAAACTCTCCAGCCAGTCCAGAGCCCCTGGTCACAGAGAAGGAAGCTAAGAGGTTCAGAGTCTGCCCTTTGAGCACACCTTTGGTTTTCCCCTAAACCCTAGTCTGCCATTTCCAGTGGCCTCCTCCCCGGCACCGTGCTGGGCGCAGACCTGAGGGACACCGGGGAGGACGGCTGCAGAGCTGCCCGGCTGGCTCACACAGCCCTCAGCAGCCCCACAGGACTCTCATCTGCTGCCTGTGCCACATTTCGTGGGCGCTTCGTGGTGCCCAAGCAAGCAGCCAGCAAAGCCTGGGCCACCAGCCTCTGGCAACTGCCTGGCTTTAAAGCCAGGGAAGCAACCAGGTCTGTAGTGAGAGACCCAGGCAGAAGGACCCAATGGCTGGAGCAGAGCTGGAGTCACTCACAGCCTGAGGGACCAGCTCGGTCCCAGGAGCACATGAAGAGATGGAATGAGACACACAGGTAGGACACGTGCCTGAGCACAAGGATCGCCTCCGTCGGCAGCTGCCCGTGTTAGTAACACAGCAGCTATGGAGACAAAACAGTCCCAGGAGAGCAGGGAGGGCGATCCAAACACGCTAGACGCCAGGCTGTGCTTTGTGATGTTGCCTTCTGCTAGAAACAGCCCCAAGGACAGGTTCATAAAGCTATGGGAGATGAGGTGTCTTGGTCCTTGCTGCTGCTTCAAGCCACCTTTGCTGTCACCACACCCAAGAGCCCATCACCACCAAAGCCAGCAGCACATCCCTAGAGCATCACACACGGTCCTGGATTCCTAGGAAGTCTCTTCAAGGCACTTCAGCCTCTCATAGCCCCACAACCTCGCCTGACCTCACACCTGGAGGGTGCCAAGTGCACCGAGCCTGCAAGGATGGAAGGGGCTGTTACTCACTCTGCACGTGAAGGTCTTTAGCTTTGGACGCCAGGGACATGAGATCACGGGTGGTGTGGATGGCAGCTCGGAAGCGATTCAGCCCTCCCCGCTGGGCGGTGGGAGGGAGGCTGGACTGGGGAGCCGTGCGCTGCAGCAGGTGGTCTAAGTACTGAGCGACCTCATCGATCGAGTCGTCTGCAAGGGCGGGCACAAGAGAGGGCTGGCGTCACGCGGCACCTCGGCATCCACCCCACGTGGAGGGCAGAGCTCCCCAGCTGCACCCCAGCGCGGGCAAAGCTCTGCTTGCTGCACGAAGCAACAGTGCAGGGCTAGCGCCAGCAGCAGGACAACGCTGACAACAGGACTCACGAAGCGCAGAAGCTGTGACACCCCTGTTCCAAAGTGCCTTGGCTTCCCAGGACACCAGCTACCAGCTCCAAGCTTGGGGTCCCTCCGAGTCCTGCTGCAGGGAGGTTGCCCAGCTGAAGCACATGCCTCCTCTGAGCTGTCTAGGCTCCTGCTAGGGACTGAAGAGTTGACTCAGCTCTGCATTTCTGGCAGTGCCATCAGGTCCCAACCCCTCCAAGTAACTGCTCTGTGCACGTGCTCCCGCCTGCACAGGGACACCTTTGCTCGAAGGACATCCATGTGGTAACAGGAGTGCCAGAGCCACTCCATGCAGCACGGAGGATGGCGTTCGGAAGCCACATCTCCACTGGCCCAGGAGAAGGCAGGCAGTGCTGCACAGTGGTGCAGGGGCAGAGGGTGCCCCTGCACGGGCCCACGCGCGCCGTCAGGCAGGGCAGCACACTGCTGAGCTGGCAGCCCCTGCTCGCAGCCAGTGGGGCTTGTCACATAGGTCCCCAGACACTGTGCAGTTCTGCTCCTGGGACCTGGGCCACCTGGTTCAGAGAGCCAAGGCCCAGCTAGGACACAGGGTAGGTTGCAGCCTTCCATGCAGCCTTGGCATCGCTTCTTCTGTGGCCTTTAGGCTCCAGCAGATGAACTGGGGGGGGTCTCCGAGGCCAGCATAGCACAACGTCCCCTCCAGCATGTGCCGGGGATGCTCTGTGCCAGCCCTGGGAGGCTCTGACAGGCAGAGTGGCCACTCGGGCACACTGTGCAGGGGACTCTGCTGAGGCCAACATACTGGAGAAGCCCTCTACAGCATCGGCCTCGAGAACACCCTCCCCTTTGGCTGTCTGGATGTAGCACCCAATCACAGGAGAAACTGAAAAGTGAGCAGCTTTAAGCTGCTGCAGAGAGGCAAAAGTGGGTACGCTGCTGGCCCTGTCCCCCACTGAGACTGGGGATGCAGATATCTTGGGGCCTGCAAAAGGCCTAGAGGCTGCGGCATAGCCCAAGAGCAGATATGGTGAGAGGAGCACAGTTATGCGAGAGAAGAAGCATAAGAGTCTTCTCTGTGCTGGCTACAGATGCGCTGATGGAGCAGGGCAGAGCAGATGCTGGGAAGGCTGGGAAGAGGACCAGCATCAAGTCGTGGGATACATCCAGACCTGCTTGCAAGGGGCGCAGCGTAACGTGCACCCTCTCAGGGCAAGATCAGCCTACCACGGCACAGGTATGGGGCAGGTCCCCGTGGGCAACGTGTCCGTGGCAGCAAAGCCTCAGTTCAGCATACACTGGAGCGGCTGCCCAACAGCCCTGCTCAGGAAGGGCTAAAGACCTTGTGAAAACAACACCCAGATACTGCTCTAGGACACGGAAGCTGGCTTCTTCCCTGCCATCTCAGGTACTTTCTGTGTTTTCCATGCCAGCACCACTTGCTGTGCTATGCTGATAGTGACTGCACCAAAACACTGGAGGCAAAGCCCCAGTATGGATCTGGCACGCTGCGGCTTCCTCTCCTCCCTGTGAAACGGGCTATAGAGGTTTGGAAGGCTCGTTCAAGAACATCTCCTGGGCTCTCCACAGCCACATCCATCCACCTCAGCAACACATGTCTGGGAAGGGCCGCTGGCGAGGGGGCTACCACAGCCGCAGCAGATCACGCAGCGCTCCACCCTGCTAATGTCACTCTAAATGTCACACAGGCAAGGTTAATGGATGGAGGGTCAGATGGAAACAAAGGCATGGTGGAAACCAAGTGTATTAAGAACATGATGGCAGGCTCTGGCGGGAAGGCCAGGAGTTAGGGGTTTACTGGTGAGTTTAGCATTTGCCAGCTCACAGAAACATCTGGTCTGTTCCCCCTTACCATCATCTGCTAACTGCAAGCCATGCAGCCACTCCTCAGGATCTAGCTCCTCAAAGCTGTCAATGCCGAGCTCGTAATCGTTGGCAAAGACCTTACCCTCCGGCCCGGGGTCCATGAAGCTGAGGTGTGTTCGGCATGACGTTGTCAGGAACTCAGACAACTTACCCGTCTGGGTCCTGGGCGAGAGGAGGGGAAGTCATGGAGAGGGGAGCGAGGAGGCGGTGCACCCGTGGGCTCGCCTCCTAGATTCAGGGCAGGCCTCTCCAGTGTGGACAGATGCACTTGCCAGGGAGCGAGCACAAGCATCCCAGTGCCTGCTCGGCATCCCCACTCAGATGAGTGCTCGGAGAGCACAAGACACAGGGCACTAAAAGGGCTGCCCAAAGTGGAAGGGGAATCCCCCAGCTGTGGATTGAACAGCGTGAAGAGATACCTCTTCTCTTCCACCTCCGCTGTCGGGATTGTAGCCCCAGGGTGCACCCGTGGCCCAACACATCCTGCCCCACCTCTTGCCCCACAGAACTGGTCAGCTCCAGCGCTCAGGCTTGCCTGGCGCCCACCCCACCAGGCTCTACGAGGCCATCAGCCTCCTGGTCTCCCACACTCACCTTGCGCCACCAAAATATCCATCCTGCAGCTTGCGCAGCGTCGCCAGAACGGCGGGGTGCACACTGTTGCCCGTGTCATCTGTTGGGGACAGAAACAGGCACTTGGACGGGTGGAAACTCAGGACTCTGTCTAGCCTGGATTCCCAGCACAGACAAGCACGTGCCAATGCCCTGGGATCTCACAGCCCCTCTTCCCTCCCTGGGTTTCTACGCATCAGCAGATGGGGAGCTGATGAGGGGGAGAAGGGGCAGTAGAGGGACCACAGTATGTTTTAGACATTTAAAGGGTTTCCAGGTACAAAATGGGAACTGAAATGGCCCAATAACAAAAGGGGGTCAGAAGAGAGAGGGTTACTCCAGGGAAGCCGGTTTTGCTCTGAGCTATTGCAGAGCTTTCTGTTCCTTCCGGCTTGCTATTTTCTCCTCCTTGTCCTCTAGAAAAAAAAAAAAAAAAAAAAAAAAAAAAAAAAAAAAAAAAAAACCACCTTCAACAAACGGGCTTGGTGAAGAGTCAAACCGGGATGCAGGAACAGCCCCAAGAACACTTTCACAACAGGGCAATTATGTTCGTGGCCTAAAAATCTCTCTCTTGCTCCCCTAAGACCTCCCAGCTGCTTGGACATCCAACAGCACTTTGCCAGGGAACATCCTTTGAGCTGTGTGTGCTAAAGCTTGGCCCGCAGCCCTGCTTGCTACCAGGAGAACCGCCACCTCAGCACGAGTCCTTGGGGCAGGGAGCTCTTTCCAGGATGCTGCTGCCTGGCCAATCCCTGCCATGTCCCTGTCACCTAGATGGTCCCACATTCATCCGCGCCACCTCCAGCAGAGGCTGCTTTCTGGGGCAGTTTTAGCCAAACGCCTTGTGGGGCAGGAGGAGCTGTACCAAGCATGGTGTGAGAGATGGGGAAGGTGACGGTTGGCCGCCCAGTCATCCTCCAGCGGCTGCAGAGGTACGAGAGGTCCGTCCGCAGCATCTCCACAATCATCTTGTTATCAAGAGCCAGGTAGAATTGCTGCTGGTCTATGAACTGCAAGGACAGCAGGAGACATGAACAGCCCTTTCCACAGCCACCAAGCCCCCTGAACAGGCACCAGCCACCCCAGTCATGAATTGGAAAGCTCGGCCAGGAGAAATCTCCATGCCCACATGACTCAACTCCATCGCCATTGCCCCCCATCCTCTGGAAGCCTGAAATAAATGCTTCATGCTTCCCTCTTCATGACACCCACAAGCTGGAAACAAGCCCCATGGGCCCTGCAGGGCCACCCACCTGCGGGGTAAAGGTAAAAATGTTCTTCCTGATGTTATAAAGCTTGGAGGTGCCAAGAACACCCATCTGCCGGAAGGGACGTCCTGTGAGGGACATTTCCTTGTTGCGGCCTGTGGGGAAGAAAACAACATAAATTTCCCAAGCCACCAGGCAAAAGGGCATATGGTATCAGGCCAAACACCATGCTACTAGGTTGCAAGAAAAGCTTGGTTTCTGGTTCAGGAGCCCCAAAGTCAGCTTTCCACTGGCACAGCTCTAAGGGACAATAATGTCCTGGCCCCCCAAACCCTCCCAAGGGACCTTTGTTGGAGCAGGGGCATAAGGCCAGTCCTGACCTCAACAAAATGCCACACTTCCAGGCATTCCAGACACTTCCAGGTCTTTGCAGATGTCAGATCCTGGCGCAGGATTTCCCCACTGCACCTGGCTGCCACTGGGCAGCTGCCTATCACCCTGAAGCTGACACCTGTGTCAGCGCCCCCAGGCTCCCGGGTGGCTCCTGGAGCCCAGGACAGGGCAGCAGCATGGCCTCTTGGCCATGGCCAGCCCATGGAGAGATGCTCCAGCAGCTGCCAGGCAGCACTTGCCTCCATCTCTGCACACAGATCCTCCCTGCTCCCTTTGCCAATGTCACACTTGGCCTTTTGGGGTCTTAAATTAGCCAGTGCTTGCAGCTTGTCACAGATTGGGTTTCTTTGGCCCAGGCTAGATCTGCAGCTCCTGCAAAACAAGTTGTGTGCCTAAGGAGTTGCTGCATGAGGGAATAAGCATGGAAAGCTCTCAACACATACATCCCTTCACGCTCTTACTGCCTCCCCTTGCAACAACATCCCCACAGACTCTTCTACCAGAGGCTGCCAGGGAACTCTTTCCTGGCGCCTGACTTGCCCCCAACACTGTGATATGGGTGCAGGAACAAGAGCTGCTTTATGCCCATACCAGGACCATCCTAAAGGCACCTGCTCAGAATATCTGCCTATCCTGGGCCAAACCTGAAACCACAACACCAGAGCTTTGTCCCCTCCAGAATCCCCCTAAACAGCACTGGCTGGCACCCTTGTTCCCCTTCTGGCAGGAGCAGTGTTCCCAGACCCAGGGATCTACAGAAGCCCTGATCAGCCAGGCAGGGAGCAACAGGACATCACCAGGGGATGGGACCAACCCTTCCTCATCCCCTTTGCTTCAGAAGCCCACAGTGTAGCTTACCCAGGCGGGCATAGATGTAGCTGAGGATGCGGGCAGGTTGGACTCTGATGGGGTACACATCAGCCACAGTCTCCACGTGGATGCCCTCCTTCCTCAGGATGGCTTTGATGCCCTCTGTCTCTGCCAGGATGCACACTACGGAGCGAGTAGAGCAGGCTCAGTGCAGGCAGGAGCACAGTGGGGTGACACTGCTGCCCCAAGGCGCCACATCATGTAGAGAGCAGTCTGGGGTCCTTCAGGGACAAGTTCCCACTACAGAGAAGGCCATCCTTGCTCCCTCTTCCAATAAGTTACTTATTCCAAGCCTCCTTCTTAAGCAGCAAGGACAGGACAGTTTTCAGCCTGCCCCTGGGACAACATGGGGACCACAAGAAGGACTTACATCCCATCTTCTCCCCCCTTGCAATCTCCAGACTCGCCAAGGACTTCACGAGCATTAAATACATCCCCATCTCCTTTCAGCTGCAGCTCAGATGCAGCCACCTTTGGGTACGAGCCCACAGTTTCTCAGAAGGAGAAAATTCCTCTAAATCAGGGCCCTGGCTTGTCAGGCCTGAGATCTTGCTGCACTTGTGGCTCCCCAGAAGCAGCGCCACCCACATAAATTTGGCATGGGCAGAGCCCCACTCTGGTGGGCACAGAAATCTGCTCTAGAGGAGGGAGTTTGGGACCAGTCTGCTCCCCTCACCTTGGACCACCACGTCGGGTTTGGGGACAGTCGCAAACCTGCGGTTGAGGGGATCAATTTCGCCAGGAGCTAGAAACCCCTAGAGAAAGAAAAAGCATAAGGAGATGGACATCGCATGGGCAGAGCAGAGCTGGTGATGCCCACTGCAAATCCAAACACAATCATCTCTAAGAGGTCCTGGGGGATGGAGGCACAACTTTCCTCTCTCCAACAACATGCCTTGGTAGGTGGCCCATTTAGAGCTCAGAGCCTGGCCAGCTCAGCACTCCCCAGAGCGTGGGGTGAACATACCTCAGCCATGAGGCAACCCAGGATATAGAGGGACTGGCCCCACATCAGCGGGAGCTTGCCCATGGGTATTCTGTCCACAGTGTGGGGGTTCCTGCACTCCTCATCCACCTGGAAGATGAAACAGGAGGTCAGGGAGGAAGCCCACAGTCACAGCATGGATAAGAAAAATTATTATTATTTATAGACATGTATACATAAGAAAAATGTGCATTTAGAGCCCAGCCATTTCAGGCCTAAAACAAGAATCTTCAAAAGCATTTGCCACAGAGGGCTGGAAATATCCTGGCTATATTCCTCCCCCCAGGCACATGCTTCAGGCAACACAGTCAGCTGGCTGGAGGTTCCCAGCGCAGCCCATCTCAAAGGAATGACTGACATGTGCCAGGAACACCGAGGAACACAAACACCAGCGAGGAGAGCACTGCTCTAGCACCACCTGGGGAGCAGGAGACCAATGCTTTCAGCCCAGGGAGACATTGCCACTCCTGTCACATTGAATAGGAGTTTAGCAGGAGCTAAACACAGAGCTTCCAACACAGCTCTGATCATCCTGAGGTCTCAGAGGACTCCAATACAGACTGGGTCACTCACTGCTCTAGCACCACCTGGGGAGCAGAAGACCAATGCTTTCAGCCCAGGCAGACACTGCCACTCCTGTGACATTGAACAGGAGTTTAGCAGGAGCTCCCAACACAGCTCTGCTCATCCCGAGATCTCAGAGGACTCCAGAACAGACCGGGTCACCGAAGCACGCCTTTCTCAGTTGACAAGGCATGTTTTGGAGAGAAAAAAAAAAGTATTTTATTTACCAAACATATTTAAGATGGTTTTAAGGACTCCTAGCCATTCCTAACCACCCTTTTTACATGGGGTTTCCGTGCAGAACATTTGCTGTTTTACTACCAATTTGGGTAAATCATCTGTAAAATCTTAGTTGTCTGGCAATTCTCAGTTGACAAGGCATGTTTTGGAGAGAAAAAAAAAAGTATTTTATTTACCAAACATATTTAAGATGGTTTTTAAGGACTCCACGCCATTCCTAACCACCCTTTTTACATGGAGTTTCCATGCAGAACATTTGCTGTTTTGCTCCCAATTTGGGTAAATCATCTGGTAAAATCTTAGTTGTCTGGCACTGAGACAGTTATCACCCTACACCTCCACAATGTAGGCCAAGGCAGCTCACCTTATCCGCTGGGACACTGTACAGCTCTGGCAGCAGGCGCACACCATTCTTCCCCTTGATGAGGACCCCCTCGAGGGCTTCGCGATACTCCTGCACCTGGGAGGAGAAGAACATTAGGGCTCCTGGCATCCTCCCCCCTCTTGCCCTCCTGGCTAGAGACTCTCTTTCCCGCTCTTCATGTGTTGCATCCATTACCTGCTCCATGTTGCCACTGAAAACCCCATCAATCATCAGGTACGTCCAGAACAGAGGCCACTCACACTCGATGTTCTCAAAGAGCTGCAGCTCAGCAGGCTCGTAGTAGGGCCGGTTGGAGTCCTGCAGAGACGACACAAGAGCAGGCTCAGCCACCTTACAGGGTCTCCTCAAGCTAATGGATTTCCTGCTCTCCAGAGTGACCAGCCTCAAAGGCCACCACCGTCGTCCTCCTTGGATGACGGCTGGTGGTGGCAGAGTCAAGAAGCAGTTTCACCTCCAATACACGGCCTGTTTGACTGACACGAAAGTGGTCGGGATGGAGAAGTGCCCTCCCATACCCTGGTACATGCAGCATAGAGTGCTCCAATAGCCTCCGCTATGTGCATCAGAGAAGAAGCAAACAACCAGGCCAAGGAGACTCAGGGAGCAGAGGTTTTCCTGGTGACAAGCTCCATAGCTCCCACTTGACTCCAGGCAAAAGCAATGCTGTTGCTCCTGGGCCTCAAAGGAGCTCAGCTCCTCAGCAGGATCGCTGGCAAAGCTCGCAAGTGCTGGGAAAAACAAGACTGGAGACAGTGTTGCTCTTCTCTGGCTCTGGAGAGCCCTAGGGATGCACGTTGCCTATTATGGTCAGGTTTGAAGAGACACAGCAGAGGAGAAGCTGTTAGAGGCGCTCACGCTGTTATGCACAGAAGAGTCCCAGGCAGGGTAAGCACCCGCAGGAGCCCCATCAGGTTAAGGACCCGCCAGCTGTTGACATATAAAGAGCCTTCAAGCACTGTTTCCTGATTCGGGGGTCATTAAAATGCCTGTTGCTTACAAAACTTCCTGTTTTTCCTCTCCAAAGTAGCAAGTCTCCCTTGGCTTCATGCAGGCAAGTTTGGCAGGGCATAAGCTGCACGCAAGCCCGGGAGAGGCAGACGCAGCTCCATGATCCAAGGGATGCTGCAAACTGGGGGTTGTTGGAAAGGGGCACTGCACCATCCACTCCGGGTGCCTCTGGTCCTTGCTTCATGCCACCCTGGGAGCCCTGGCTGGCCAGCGCAGGGCTCTCCCACAGGGCAGCAGTCTTACTGCCCCTCAAACCTGGGAGATACGCAATGACAAGAGCCAGGACGTGAGCAGAGACGCGCAAGTGCCGGGGCTGCTGCCGGGGCACTTACCTCTTTGGGGGTCCTGTATCCGTCACGGAGAAAACGGCAGCAGCCGTAGCGCCCCTGCAAGGGAGGCAAAGAGTTAGTGAGCAGGAGAAGCATGAGGCCCTCCCCGAGAAAAGAAGGGGATTGCCCTGGCAGCCCTTCCTAGAGTGAGTTTTGGAGGAGACGAGGACTCCAGGGTTTGGGCAGGTCATCTCAGTTGGGTTCTGCAGTTGTTCCCCATCAAGGGCAAGACGAGGCAGCTGCTCACCTGCAGCTTTGTGATGATCTCTTGCTTGGTGGTTTCCACCAGCTTGCTGTCCTCCACAGCGAATGCCGGGTAGGAGATGACGGAGAGCACGCTGGCGTCCACCTCCTTGGATGTGGAGGCCCTCGGCAGCATCGAGTGAAGGATGGACTGGGCAGAGGGAAAGGAGAGCTGCTTAGACCGCTAGGCCTGGCACTGGGAAGCCCTGTACAGACCAGTAACAGATCTGCTCACGCTATAACCCCACCGGATCAAAGTTAATCCCATGATATGACATGTCAGCCATGTGAAAGGATCAAGGAACAAGCGTGGCAAGGAATAGAGGGGTGATCTGCGAGACAGCACCCATATAATTGTGGGCTCATTGCTAGGATCAGCACCCACTCCACAGGGAGTACTTTGCTGTAGCATTGACACAACTTGTGGAATAGGCTGATGGCACGATACCAGGGCACCCCAGACTGCCCCATGCTGGGCTCTTCCCTGAGGATGCATCTGCTGCAGGCACCCTGTGCTCTGCTGAGCAGCCAAGCACGGGTGGCACTTGCCTCCTGGGGCTCTGGAGCAGGAGGAGGCAGCCAGGACTCACCTGGCAGTGCTGCACCTCATCAGACAGCACCCGGATCACAGACTGCGGGCCTCCCTTCGCTCCAAAGAGGTCCAGCTCATCCAGTGCCTCCAGGGCAGCCTGCGAGCAGGGAGAGACGCAAGGCAGTGAGTCCTCCCCCAGGCTGCTCTTCCGTAAGAGCTCACACCCACGCCAGCCCCACTGCAGAACACGCTGCCCAACTTGAAACAGGGAAAGGGAAGCCAACTGGATTCTTTCCTCCCAGCAAAGGCACAGATCAGGTGACAGAAACATGGTTTTATCCTGGCACACCAGTAGAAGGGGTTTGATGCCCAGGAACTATGACTATCCAGCATGGCTGGGTGTTCAGCACCCTCTGCTCCAACACTTAAGTTCAGTCTTCCTCGTACACCCACTGAGAGGAAAGAGGCCACTGGTTGTTCAAATCCAACCGTGGCAGCAGTGTCACCCCTCTTCCCCCTGGCCTCCCAGCACCTCTCCCCAGCTCACCTTGGCCATGCCAACAGAGCTGGCGTTCAGCTCGGTGATGCCCCGGTTTGTCTTGTCTCCACGCTCCCATATGCCAAAGTCCTGTGCAAAGACACAGGGGTTCACAGCACTCTTGGGAAGCCCTCGAGCCTCATCGCCTTGGCCCCAGAAGACCCTGCTCCCTCTGCTGAGGAGCACGGCCCATTGGAGAGCTTCCCTTGGCCCTGTGCCTGGTCACGAAGCCAGCAGCACCCAGCAGCACTGAGGCTCCCAGCAGGACTTTGCATCCAGCTCGTGGGAGCCATGTAAGTGTCCCAGGCACCAGCTGGCTGTCTTGCCACCCCAGGAAGCCCAAGCACCATCCTGCTGGCCCATGACATTACTCACCGCCGTTTTGTAGGCTGCCTCAATGTAGAACACCAGGTTCTGGATGAAGTTGACCTCATCCAAGCTGTAAATTATGTGAAGGCCTGCAGCGGGGAGAACTCACTTGAGTCCCTTTAAGCCTGCAAGCTGCTAGGAGAGGGCTGCAGCAATCGAGACTCAACTCCTCTCCTCCTCCCTGCATATCTGCTCTGGGTCAGTCTTGTCCTGATAGGCCCCAGCACTCCCACTCCCATGGGGTTTCAGAGAAATGGTGTCTTTTAGGGAACGTGAACGACCCCTGTTTGCCTCGGGGGTTGTGAGTACCTGACAACAGTGAGGTTGGGGTGGGGACTCTGGTGGCCTCATCATGGACACGCTGAGGATGTGGGCAGCCCTGGAGATCCGCGCACCCAGGCTTTCCTCCCTCCTCCATGGAGGGGCCTGCCCGAAAGGCAGCCGCTCAGGGCTGCTTCACGCAGGCAGCAGGAGCCCCTTCCCCTCCGAGACGCAGGGTCTAAAACAACGCCCCTGCGGCAGTATCACCTGAGGCCGTCATTTGCGCCAGCATGAGCAGGTAGAGGGAAGTGGCGTCCATCTGCAGGTGACCCCACTCGTTGTCCCCCACCACGGTGGCACACGTGTGGGTGTTGTACTTGGCGTGCAGGCAGTCCCTGGTGCTCTGGCTGTACTTGAACGCCTCCACCTTGTCCACCTAGAGAAGAGCAAAGGGATGCAGGCGCCAGTCAAACAAGCACCAGGGAGGTTCTGCAGCCCCAGAGCTATGGACAGTCCCATGTTGGGACCAGCTGCAGCTCCTAATGCTGCTCAAGTAGGTACTCCCGGCCTTTCTGCCTGAGCCACAGGTCTGAGCTCCTGCAACATGGAAAACAGCAGGTCCGAGCTCACACACCACCCTCAGCATGGGGTACCACTGCAGCAAATCTGTGAGCCACGGAGAAGAAACCTTTGCACTTGTACCACACTGAGAGACAAGGGCAGCCCAAACTGCCTCAAGGGATAGGAGCTACACAGCCCCAGGGTCAGCCAGGCCCCAGGAGAGGGAGCAGCTGGCAAAACCTCTACTGGACCCCATCCCACAGCACTAGGGCTCCCAGGAAGAGAGCTCAGCAGCAGGACGGATGCCAGCTAGGCTTATTTTAAGACTTCTTGGAAGGGGGCCATTCCTCTGCTCATTGGGGACGGATGGGGAGACCCTGTGTAGCTGGGTCTGGCTGTCCTGGTGATGGATCAGAGCTGCAAGAAGGGGATCGTTTGATTCGCAGAAATGACCCCGAGCCCCTACCTGTCTCATCATGCACTGGAGCAGTCCCCGCATCAGCTTCACCACGCTCTGCAGGAACAAGGAAAACAAGCTCGTAAACCCCCACACAGGGAGGAGAAGCCCTGACTCAGGACCAGCTGGTCCCTGACCTTTGCAGGACTCCTGTGTCTGTAATCAGAGCCCCTGCTCACATTTCCAGTCCTTACTCTCTAGGCAGTGCTCTGGGCCAAGCTGCGGGGCTGGAAGCGGGAGGGCAAGCCGGTGGGACACAGCTCCCCCGCCTCGGGGAAACGGGGCTGAGTCCCTGCATCACCCGAGGCCCAGAGCTGAATCTCAGGCTGGATTTAAACCCTAGGTCCAGAACAGTCTGCAAAGAGCAGCCTCCAGGACCCTCTCCTATTGCCTCTGCAGCCTTCCCAGTCCCTAGGGCAGCCTTGTCCCTGTATTTTCACTTGCCACAGGTCCTCATGTCCTTTCAGATCTAGAACTGGGCCACATAAACAGCAAATCAGTCAGAGGGTCTCAAACAGCTCCCGGTGGGGAGGAGCCCTTTCCCGCACCAGGTTGCCCCTACCTGCTCCAGCTCGTAGGCCTTTGCCTTGTCCTCATCACGGTCGGCGTTCTTGCGATACGCCAAGCCCAGGCCCCACACGGCCAGGATGCTGTAGACATTGTCGCGCACCCAGGCATCCTTGTGGTCCTCACTGGCAGGAAGCAAGCCCGTCACCGGGTCCTGCGGGGAAGGAGGTGAGACGGTTGACAGGCTTATGGTTGGACTCGATGATCTTGAAGGTCTTTTCCAACCATAAAGATTCTACGATCTATGAGAGCGCTACTGGTCCGGGTAGCAGCTCGGCCCCGGTGGCAGCTCCCTGCCACCACCATCCCCCTGCTCCGCTGCCCTCCACCAGCCCGCCCTGGCCACGCAGGTGCCCGGGCCGGGGGCAAACCCTGCCCGCGGAGCCCCAGGGCCCCGCTGCGGCCCCGCCGCG